GGTGTGTTGAAGTCTCGTAAAATGAATGCATTGCAGTCTATTTTCCCCTTTAATTCTGTTAGTATTTGTTTCACATATGCTGGTGCTGCTGTATTGGGTGCATATATATTTATAATGATTATATCCTCTTGTTGGACTGACCCCTTTATTGTTATGTAATGTCCTTCTTTGTCTCTTGTGACTTTCTTTGTTTTGAAGTCTATTTTGTCTGATACAAGTACTGCAACATCTGCTTTTTTTCTCCCTATTGTTTGCATGAAATATCTTTTCCCATCCCTTCAGTTTCAGTCTGTGTATGTCTTTGGGTTTGAGGTGAGTCTCTTGTAAGCAGCATATAGATGGGTCTCGCATTTTCATCCATTCTGTTACTCTGTGTCTTTTGATTGGTGCATTCAGTCCATTTACATTTAGGGTGATTATTGAAAGATGTGTACTTATTGCCATTGCAGGCTTTGGATTCATGGTTTCCAAAGGTTCCAGGGAAGCTTCTTTACTATCTAACCATCTAACTTAACTTACTTATTATGCTATTATAAACACAGTCTTACGATTCTTTATTTCTCTCCCTTCTTTTTCTTCCTCCTCCACTTTTTATATGTTAGGTGTTTTATTCTGTGCTCTTTGTGTTTCCCTGGACTGATTCTGTATATGGCTGATTTTATTTTGCATTTAGTTCGTATCTGGTTGGTCTGCTTTGTTTGCTGTGGTTTCATTTCCTCTGGTGACAGCTGTTCAGCCTTAGGCGCGCTTCCACCTGGAGCGGCCCCTCCAAGTACACTAGAGGTGGTTTGTGGGAGTAAATTCCCTCAATTTTTGCTTATCTAGGAATTGTTTAATCCCTTCTTCAAATTTAAATGATAATCTTGCTGGATACAGTATCCTTGGTTCGAGGCCCTTCTGTGTCATTGCATTGAATAGATCCTGCCACTCTCTTCTGGCCTGTAAGGTTTCTGCTGAGAAGTCTGATGATAGCCTGATGGGTTTTCCTTTGTAGGTGATCTTTTTTCTTTCTCTGGCTGCTTTTAATACTCTGTCCTTGTCCTTGATCTTTTCCATTTTAATTATTATATGTCTTGGTATTGTCTTCCTTGGGTTCTTGGTGTTGGGAGATCTGTGGACTTCCATTGTCTGAGAGACTATTTCACTCCTCAGATTGGGGAAGTTTTCATCAATTATTTCTTCAAGGACACTTTCTATCCCCTTTTCTCTCTCATCTTCTTCTGGTACCCCTATAATGCAAATATTTTTCTGTTTGGATTGGCCACACAGTTCTCTCAATATTCTTTCATTCCTGGAGATCCTTTTTTCTCTCTCTGCCTCAGTTTCCCTGTGTTCCTGTTCTCTGATTTCTATTCCATTGACAGTCTCTTGCACCTCATCCAGTCTGCTCTTAAGTCCTTCCATTGTTTGTTTCATTTCTGTTATCTCCCTCCTGAATTCTTCCCTCAGCTCATCAATGTTTCTCTGTAGCTCCATCAGCATGACCATGACTTTTATTTTGAATTTTTTTTCAAGGAAGATGGGTGATTTCAGTCTCACCAGCCCCTGTCTCTCGTGTTTGAGGGATTTTGGACCAAACAAGGTTCTTCTGCCTTTTCATGGCGATGGGAGTGGTCGCCAGCAAGTGGTACGTGTGTCAGCTGGGAGAACAAACTCCCTTCCTGCTTGCTGGTCGCCTTGCCTGTCTCTGCTGTCTGTGCCGGTCAACCGCACACAGGGAGCAGCCTCCGTGCTAACCTGTGTGGTTGCTGTAGGTGGGGCTGCTCCCCGGCTGTTCTGCAGCAATGGCGGGTCAGCCGGTTTGCTTGCAGTGCCAGCAGGGGGGAGCAACAGCAGGCTGCTTATCACCGTGAGGGGGTTCGGAGCTGCTCTGCCACCCAGGGGGTTAGGGCGCCTGAAGTTCCTTAAAGTTCCCAGCCTGCTGGGCTGAGTGTGCCAGGACGATATAAGCCCTTGTCCCTTTAAGAGTTTTAAAGCACCCACTTTTCTCTTTCATCCAGGGGCCGTCAGCTGTGGGAACCTGTTCACAGTCTTAATCTCGGATTTTGCTCTTCCGCTCCTCTGATATCCCGTACACCATGCACTGTGTGTCTGTGCTCCGGGTGCGGATTCCTAGGGCTGGTTATTTAGCAGCCCTGTGCTTCCGCTCCCTTCCCACTCTGATTCTTTTCCTCCGGCCGGTGAGCTGGGGTCGGGGGGTGCTCAGGTCCTGCCGGGTCACCGCTTCGTATCTGACCCTTTTCTGCGAAATGTTGGGTTGTCGCAGATGCAGTCTGGCTCGTGTACTGTATCTTCTGGGCACTCTTAGGAATAGTTATATTTGCTGCATTTTCAAAATATATATGGTTTTGGGAGATTTTTCCCACCCTACTCACGCTGCTATGTTGAGAATCTCCATTTTAAACATCTTTAAATGTAAAATTCATGACATTAATTACACTCAGTGTTGTGCATTCATCACTATCATATATTTCCAAAACTTTGTCATCACCCCAAACAGAAATTCTGCAGCCTTTAACATTAATTTCCTGTTCCCATTCCTCCCAACCCCAGTGACCTCTACTCTACTTGTGGTACCTCAGTGGTTACGTCTTACACAACTACAACACAGTGCCAAAGCCAAGGGCGCATGTAGTTCTATACCATCCTGTCATGTGTGTGTAGATTCACGTCCCAGCACAATTGAAATACAGAAGTTTCATCACCACAAAGACCTCCCTGGTGTTACACTTCTGCTCCCATCTTTAAACCTAGGCAATCACTGGTCTGTTCTTCATCTCTGTAATTTTGTCACTTCTAGAATGTTACATAGATGGACTCATACAGTGTGTGATCTTTTGAGATCAGCTTATGTCACTCAGTGTGATTCTCTCAAGAGTCAACCGAGCTGTTGTTATGTATCAGTGATTCGTTCATCTTTATTGCCGGGAGTATTCATGGTGTGGGCGTGCCACAGCCTGGCCGCCCATCCACCTGTCTGAGGACGTTCAGGTCACTTCCAGCTTTTAGCTATTACAAATAAAGCTGTTATAAACATTAGTGTGCTGGTTTTTGTTGCACACAGTCTTAATTTCTCTGGGATAAGTGCCTAGTGGTATGACTGCAGAGTCACAGGTAGGAGGATGTTTAGTTTTCAAAACACTGCCAAATCGCTTTCTAGAGTATCTGTGCTACTTTACGCTCCTACCAGCAGTGTGTGCAGGTCTGGTGGTTCCGTGTCCTCACCAAAATCTGGTGGTGATGCACTTCACTTTAGCCGTTCTGTGGTGGCTAGAAAAAGGGAGCATCTTTTCATGTGCTCATTTGCCATCTGATCTCCTTTTTGAGAAACTGTTCCTTTTGCCCATTTTCTCATGAGATTGTTTGGTTTTTACAGGTAATTTTGAAAGTTTACATATTCTGGATATGTCTTTTGCGGATGTCATTTGCAGAAATTTCTCTTTGCTTGTAGCTTGTTTTTTCATCCTGTTAAAAGGCCTTTCACCAACAAAAGTTTTAAAATTTGGTCAAGTCCAATTTGTTTATACCTTTTATATAGAGTGCCTAGGGCATCGTGTCTAAGATCTCTTCATCAGTTTCTAGGTCTGTTTTTATTCTAGTTTTATGATTTCTTCTAAAAATTTAGTTTTACATTTAAATATATGATCTACTTTGATGTTTGTCTTTAATTTTATGGTGTCCTTTCCCATAAATTTTTTTAAAATCAAGTACATGTCTTTTCCTTCTGAGTGTTAATATTTTTTCTAAATTTCCTTCTGTTATATTTATATAGTTGTATTTTCTATATTCTAATCTTCAAATTATCTGAAAATTACTCTTGTAAATGATACAGGAAGGGGTGCAGCCTTGTTTTCTGTCTATATACTGTCTGCCAGGTACTGTCCCTAAGTGCCTTAGATATAGTTCATTTAATCTTCACAGCAGCCCTGTGAGGATTCTTAGCATTAATCACCCCATTCCATAGAAGGGTAAACTGAGGCTTAGGGAACTTAGAACTTGCTTAAGGTCACACAGAATATGGAGGAGATGTGTGTGTATTTGCTATTTTGACTTCTTCTATAGTGAAAACCCTATTCTAGATTTTTGTACATTTTTCTATAAGGTTCTATGAATTTTTTGTTACTGATTTGTCAAAGTTCTTTACATAGTTTGGAGATGGGCCATTTTTAGTTGCATGTACTTACAGGTATGTCTTCCCACTCTGTGACCTTTTTACTCTCTTAGTGCTATATTTAGATTAACAGATGTCTTTATTTAAAAAGTTATATATTAATATGCATTAATAAATAGATTAATGCTTCCCTTTATGATTAGTGGCTTTTTACCTGTTTAAACTTGCCCTACCTTCTCATATTTGTAATTTTCATGATTTAAAACAAGAAGCAGCAGCCCAGTGCCCAGTGACAGGAGCCCCTGCCGAGTTAGTTTCTGGAAGGTGGAAGGTGTGGGAAACTCGATTCTGACCATAAAGCCATTGAGAAGAAACTCCAAGTTGCAGGCTAAAAATTCTCACAGGGAAGAAGTCGCTGCTCAGGCAGAGCGTGTGGAAGCTAGAACAGCCCTTCTCAAAGCAGGCCCAACAGCCGGTGCACAGGGGCCCGTGGGCGGCTGGGTCAGGGCCACTCGGAAGGAAGCCAAGTCCCTCCGCCTCTGCACTTCAACGACAAGGCCTCTGCAGCTCTCTGGGTGAAGGGTCTAGAGGATGCCAACCCCGTATTGCTTCTCAGATGAAATACCGGGGCCCCTTCATCAGTTCTCCCTTCCAAACGCCTGGTGTCACCGGCATTAAACACATGCAGCCCCCTAGAGATCCTGTCTCTCCCCTCCATGCTTGGCCACTTAACTGGCCCGTCAGTCTCCCGCTGCCACCTTGGCCCTCATAACTGACTGATAAATGTGGGCCAAGTGCCCAAGCAGAGACGTGCCCCCTCTCTAGGTCCCCTGTCTGGGTTTAGGCCCATCCCCACCTGTGCTGCCCCGCACCCCAGCTCCTGTCCCACTCGACTCCACCAGGCCCCCAGCTCCTGCTGTGGTCCCCAGAGATGGAGGTGGCATCCAGTTTGCTTGCCGCAGCCTCTGCATTTTATTCTAGCCTGGAACATGGCCAGGAGTGAAGAGTTGTGTCCCAACTCCATTCTGGAGGGGAGGGGAGGCTGGGGCCCCCAGCCAGGTTAGCTGTAGCTGTCAGGAGCCATGTTGCCTGGCAGGAAGTAGCGCTGCAGGGTCGGCTGCAGGGGCAGTGGGGGCAGTGGGCGGGCGGGCCTGGGCCAGTCTGGGGGAAATGGCTGCAGCTCCACCCGAGGCAGTGGCAGCTTCAGCGTCCGGATGGAGCCCTCGAGGGTGCGGCCCACCCCGAGCCGGGACAGCGTCAGGCCTGGGGCCAGCAGGACAGTGTGGCCTCAGGGGGGGGTCAACTCCTGGGCTGGGCTTGGGGTGGAAGTCAGAGTCCAGTTCTACCCCTGCCCTACTCACCCCTCTGTCTCCTCGGAAACCTCGGGACCTTGGCCTCCTGCAGCCGGAGGATGGAGTGGTGCCTGAGTGGGCGGGGAGGTGGGTTTGGTGGGGCCGACCCCTCAGCACCCCACACAGGCCCTCCCTGTCCTGCTGGAGCTTTGCAGCTGGCTCACTGGTGATCCCAGGGCTGTGGCACCACTGTATCGGGCTCCAGTGGGCGCGGGCCAGGTCTCGGGCACAGGCTCTCGGGCTCTTGCAAGGAGACCTGCTGCCGGGCCTGCTGCTGCTGCTGGCAGAAGTAGTTGAGCGCGTCGATCGGCCCCAGGTCCAGCATCCGGGACTGCGGCCAGTCAGTCTGATCCAGCGGCAGGGGCTTGTCAGGCAGGGCGGCCGGCACGGAGGATCGCAGGTGGGTCTCAGGCAAGGAAGAGAAGCATAGCAGCGTCTCGGAGAGCGTACGTCTGGTCTTCTGGACATGCGTGTGTGAGAGCATCTGCTGGGCTGGGGGCTCTGGGGCGGCTGCATCTGGCTCCCCAGGCGAGACCACCAGCGAAGGTGTCCAGGAATGGACTGGGGGTGTCACAGAGATATGAACGGGTGCCCCAGAGGCCATGGAAATCTGCGACATGGCCTCCTTGGGAGGAGGGAGAGGTGCCGAGGCCTCGGGAACTCTGGGAAGCATCTCTGGCATCTCGGCTATAGGCGGCTGCGGAACTTCCTTCTGTGGGGAAGGCCGCCAGTGGAGGGCACGCCAGGCCCGAGGCAGAGGCTGCCCTCCCCCGTCACAGAGGCCTGCGTTCCCTGAGAGAGGAGCAGGGAGACCCTGAGGGACAGGTGCAGGGAGCACGGATGAGGCCCCGAGTTAAGTCAGAGCCAGGCCAGGAGCCTGGGGGTCTCATCTGGCGCTCCCCCTGAACTTGGGGAAAGCCTCTGGGAAGGCAGGGGGCTCCCCGGCAGGTGGCCCGCCCCGGGCTGTGGGCCCAGACCTGAAGCCGCTGCATCATCTCCTCCAGCTTCTGGCAGCAGCGCTCGCGCAGTACAGCCTTGTCACAGTCTGGGCCCTGGACCCAGGTCATCATCTCCTTGGACAGGACGCCCTGTGGGTCCTGCAGGCCTAGCCTGCCCAGCAACTCCTTGAGCTCAGCCCTGCAACAGGTGCGGGCAGCTCATCCAGAGGCCCTTCCCTGAGGCTGGCGGTCGGGGGCGGTGCCGCTGCCAGGTCAGGCACTGAGCGGGCTCACCGGCAGTGGGCAGGTGAGTAGAGGAAGTAGGACATGAGCTCCAAGACCACCTCGCGGGACTGCAGGGAGCAGGCCAGGAGCAGCTGCAGCGCCAGCATCACAAACCGCTTCTGCGTCTGGTCCTGAACACAGAAGAGGGGAGAGCAAGGGGTGCCCGGCCCAGTGGGGCGGGGCTGGTGGGGTGGGGCAGGGGCACACCTCCAGGCTGGGTGGCCGGTCCAGGTTGAGCAGGTGCACGAGGATTCCCTGCAGCCGGCCGCAGAGGTCGCTGCTCAGGCCGGGCAGCAGCCTCAGCAGTGCCTGCAGCACGTGCACACGGTCCGCCCAGGAGGCCTCACCCAGCAGGTCCATGAACAAAGAGGCCAGGCCCTCCACCGTGCCCACCTCAGGGTATGCCTGCGGGGACAGATGCTGAGGCCTGGCCCCCAGCCCCCCCAGCCCCTGCTTCCCAGACACCCGAGACTCCCCCAGACCTCCAGGGTGAAGATGGGGAGCAGCCTTTTGAACCAGTTCTGGATGACGAAAGAGCGCAGGAACCTGGGCAGATGCCCGTAGTGCGCCTCGCAGAGCAAGCGCCCGTGGTGGGGCAGGGGCAGAAGCAAGTGGGCCTCCGTCCTGGTGCCATCGTGGGGGCGTGCGGGCTTCGGGGTGGGGTGCTCAGAGCTCTGCGGGGAATAGGCAGCTGCAGATCCACCTCTGGCAGCTCCTCCCTGGGCAGCCCAGCCCCCTGCCTACCTGAGCCCCCGGCTCCTCGGGCCCCAGCAGCTGGTCGGAGGGCTGCCTGTGCGGGCTCAGGGGGTCAGAGGACCAGACCAGCTCTGGCTCCCTCTCCTCCCCCCGCTCTTGCTCATCCCCCAGCTGCCGGATCAGCTGCTGCGGCCACTTGGCTCGGCGCTGCGTCCTGCCCCGCAGCTGCCACAGGTCGTCCTGGCTGGCACCTGGCTGTGGAGTGCAGAGGCGATGGCCTCACGTGCTGTGGGGACTCGGCCCTCCCACCGTGCGCTGCCTGCCGCACCCCTTGCCTTGGGTCTGCCGTGCCCTGTGAGCTGATCCAGGGCTCCATGGCCGCTGGCCTCCCCGGGCAGCCACATCTGCTGCAGCACGACGGAGTTGGGAATGCAACCCGGGAAACACACGGGCCGCTGCAGGCACTGGAGCAGAGCACAGCAGGGCAGGCTTGGACCTGACGCAGCCCAGCCTGAGATGCCCAGGCGGGCATGGGGTCACAGGCCCCGTCTGCCAGGTCTCAACAAGCTGCACTGGGCTCGCACCCCCTGCCCCCAGCACCCAGATGGGGAGAGAGGACCTTTAGGAATCAGGAAGAAAGGCAGGCAGTGAGGCATTGACTCTGGTAACTAAGGAGGGAAATCTGGGCCTCCTGGCCTCTGAGAACCCGACAGCCTCACATGCTCACTGCCCGACTCAGCCCCCAGCTCTGGAGCAGAGAGGCGTCAAAATGAAGCATGCGGTGGGCATGGCAGCAGTTTGGAGAGGGGGCTGCTAAGGGCCTGGGTCGCAGTGCAGCAGCTAGAAGGACCCTGGGACTCACCTGGGGGAGGGGCTGAGGCTTACCAGGGCATCCGGGTGGGAAGTGAGGGCAGGCATGGACTGCAAAGGGCCAGCCACTGCTGACTTTGTCTGGGAGACTAAAGTCCACAGGGGACCTGCCCACCCAACACCCTGGCTGGAGAGGGGATATGGCATGGGCTCTGGCTTTGCCCTGGGCGCTCTCTGATGGCAGTGTCTCTGTGGGAGCCCCTGGCCCCCTGGTGGCCACTCCCAGAGGGCAAGGAGCCCAGGCTCTGAGCAGCGGCTCAAGGCTGCTGGCGGTGGGGGGGGGCGGGGGCGCTAGGTGGGCGCGGCCTCTGGACAGAACGGAAGATGGGGCGCACCAGGAGCGCGCGCTCTGGAGGGGGGGGCCTTGAGAGTGAGCACTCACCCGGGAGGGCTCGACAGCAGCAGGAAAAAAGCCCCCGAGGTTGGAGAGAAGTTCTTTGGGTCGTCTCTTCAGCAACAGGGGGCACTGGGGACAGGGCAGTGGCTCAGAGCCCAGCATAGACCCTGGTGTCCCTGGGCTCTGCCTCTGACAGGCAGCACCGCCCCTGCCCAGGCCCTCACCCTGTGCTGCAGAAGGGAGGACGGTGGGTCCAGGGCCACAGGCTTCTCCCCTCGGAGCCGCTCTGACTGTAGCTGCAGATCCAGACTGAGGCCCAGGTCACAGCTCAGAGAGGAGCCGGCCAGCAGCTGGGCCATGGGAGGAGGAGTCACAGGAGGCGCCAGGGGTTACAAGGTCAGGGCAAAGGGTAGGAGAGGTGGGAGGCCTCACCCAGGCTGCCCTGCAATGCACCTTGCAGTGGGTTGTTTGGGGAGGGTGGGTGAAGTGCTGGCTTAGGGCACCCTCGTCCTGTGGAGGCAGGGCTCTTGGCGCTGTTGGGGCTTCAGTGCGGACCCCAGCCTGCCTGAGGCTGGGGCCAGCTCTGGGAGGGACACACACATCCCATGTTCCCCTCTCCACTGTGAGGGCTACGGTGCCCCACTGCTGGGACTCTTCTCCACCGTGCAGGCCCTGGGAGGGTGGCAGGGCAGGTAGGCACTGTCAGAGGTCCAGGGCCAAGGGAGGGGCTGGGTCAGAGCCGGAACAGGGGAGGCCCCACACCCACCATCAGGCCAGGCCCGTAGATCAGATGGAGATAGTTGTCAAAGGCCTTCTGGCGCTGATGCCAGGAGGGTGAGGGCTGGGCTGCGGGCACCACCAGCTCTTGTCTCAGCTGCTGAAGGTCTTGATCTCGGGCAAGAAGGGCTTCCAAATCCTGGGGTAGGGGTCAGCCCATTCTTCCCTGAGCTCCGCCATAGGCTGCCCAGATAAACACAGGACTCCCAGGCCTACCCAGGGACTGAGGGGTGTGGCCTGAGCCTGGTCAAGGGGCCGAGCTGGGGCATTGGGGTGGTGAGGGGGTCAGGACCCACCCCACCTCTTCCAACACTGGCTGCTGAGGCGTTGCTGTCCGGTGATGGATGAAAGACAAGCCTGTGCTGCAGACAGGAATGGACACAGGTGGGGCACTGGGCAGGCGATATGACCAGAATGATCAAGCAAAGGCTGGGACAAGGACTGGGGTGCCCAGGCCCCTGGCAGGGCACAGCAAACATGAATGGTGATGCCAGGGCTGGGACAGGCTTTCAGTGGCCCAAGGGGCCTGGAAGCCCTAAAGCATCGTGCAAGGGGCCTGCAGGTAGGCCCTGACCCAGGGGAGCTGGTGGGGCCTCAAGGACAGCTCAGCCAGGCCTGTCCACAGACCTAAAGCTGGACCCTCCATGCAGGTTGGCGAGCCTCTGCAGTTGGGCTGAGGTTAGTGATTCCTGGCCTGTTAGGGGCAGAGGAGGGTCATCTACCACGTCTGGGATCTTCTGGCACAGCTTCTGAGTAGTGAAAAGGGCCAAGAGCCCTGGCTTAAGGGGCTCATCTGCCTGCAGTAGCCCCAACCCGCACACTCTGGGCTCAGTGCCCACCTCAACCAGGTAGGACGTGGGCAGGTAGAGCCTGTGGGACACCAGGCAGAGGCGGGAGCCCAGTGCCAGAACCAGGTCCCCGCTGTTGCTGCAGAAGGTCAGGGCCTGAGGGGCACCATTCAGCTGCAGAAGCCTGGAGGGGTGTCCAGGGCAAGAGTCCATCTCTGACTCACAGAGCAGTAAACAGAGGCAGCACAGGGGAAAGGCCTCTCCCCTGTCCAGCCATGGAGAGATGTAGAAGAGCCCAGCTGGCTGCCCACAGGTTCCCAGCCCTCCCTCCCTCCCATCCCCAGCCCACCGCAGCAGGCGGTTCTCCGCTGTCCAGATGCGGATGGTGCGGTCCAGGCTGGAGCAGGCGGACACCTTGAGTGTGGGACAGCAGCACAGGCCTGAAGGCAGGGCCCAGAGTCAGACACCAGGACACGTGATGGTCTGGGCTTCACCCCTGCTGGGCCCCTCACCAGTGATGCGGTCCGTGGGGTCATCCTGAGGCTGGTGATCATAGCGCCGGCTGTTGCCCAGGCCATACTGCACCAAGCCATAGGTGGCGCTGTCCGGGTCCTCAAAGCCCACCGTGACGCGCTTCCCTAGCGCACAGAGTGCCATGGCTGGGTGGCAGCAGGAGAAAGTCCGCAGCAGGCTCAGGCTCTCCTCAGCATACGGGAAAACACACCACATCTTCACGGTCAAGTCTCCTCCTGCGGGCAGGGGAGCCAGGGCTAGGCTTCTGAGAGGGGACGGATTTCCACGCTGGCAGGGGAAGAGGAGAAACCGACCTGAGGTCACCACGCTGTTCCGGGTGGATGCGATGGCAGTGATGGGGCCGGGGCTGTGTGCCTCCGTGCGGAAGACCGTCTTCAACCAGTGCCACCCCAGCACCGACAGGGCACCATCGGTGTGCCCCACCATAGGCAGGTACCTACGGGCAACAATAGCCCTATGGCACAGACCCTGTCATCCTGCCCGCCGAGCCCTCACTTGCTCTCACACCCACCGGTTCTTGTCCTTGCAGGCCTGGCCCGTGTCACTACAGCACAGCTCACCCTTGTGCTGGCGCACCGTCTCCCAGTTGGCAAAGGCACTGCTGGGGTCTGTGAGGTGGCTGTAGAGGTGGAGGCAGCAGGGCCTGGGCGCTGGAGACGGGGGCGGGCACACACGGTGCAGCACGCGCATGGGGCAGCGTGCTGCGTTGGCACACACCAAGTGCCCGGCGCGTGTCAGCAGCCACAGCACTTCGCGTGGCAGGCAGTAAGCCACAGCAGCCGCGCAGTCGTCGGGCTCGAGCAGCAGCACGCTCACTGTGCGCCCGGTCGCCACTGACACCAGGTACACAGAGCCATCGGCGCACGCGCACACGAGGCGCGCTGGCAGTGGCGGGTGCGCAGGCGCCGGCAGCGGGGGCACCGCCTGCAGGTGGAGCACTGGCGCTGACAGCTGTGCCAAAGGCGAGTAGAGCTCCTGAAGGCGCCACAGCTCCACGCTGCTTGCACGCAAGGAGAGTACCGGCCAACCTGGGCCAGCAGGTGCCAGCAGGCGGTTCACGCGTCTGGAAGGCACTTCCTGGCTCCAGCGGCTCAGCGCCACCTCGCCCACCTGCGCCGCCGCCTGCAGGTCCCATGTGCGTAACGTCCCATCCTGCGAGGCCGACAGCACCAGGGACGTGTTCGGGAGGATGGTCATAGCTGTCACTGGGCCTGCAGGAGGAGTCGGGGTCACTCAGGCACATTAGGGACTAAGGGAAGGGGAGCCGTCAGCCCTGGTTGCGGCCAGCACAGAGAAGCACTGTCAGAGCGGGCAGAGGCTCTGGACAGCCCAGCTTCATAAGGCAGAGGCTGTGTACAGGGTGGAGAGAGAATGCTCAAGAGCCACAGGGGACAGCGCACCTGTGTGTCCCACAAACACCATTCGGATCTGCCAGTCAGCCTCCCACACCTTCACTGTGCTGTCTTGGGCGGCTGTCACCATGGCCTCTACCTCTCCGCAGTAAGCCAGGTCGGAGATGGTGCTGCAGGGGAGGAGGCCAGACAGACTCGGCACCACCTCGTGTGTGTGTGCACCTCTGCCCGTCATTACCCGTTTGCCCTCACCAACTCGCCTCGCTGTCCCGCCAGCCCCTGGGCCCCCTCACGTTTTGTGCAGATTCCGGCGCACATCTATGAGAGCCCAGGTATGCAGATCAAAGGTGAGCACAGTGGAGCCATAAGCAGCGAAGCAGTGCAGGATGTGGTGGGGAGGCAGGGGTGCCAGAGCCAGGCTCTCCAGCGCACCCACCGTGCTTGGTGGTGGCTGTAGAGGTGGCCCGCAAGGCACCAGGCAGCAACCCCCTGAACAGAACTTCCAGAGTGCCAAGCCGCCACCTGCCTCTGCCACTAGCAGCAGCCCTGCGTCAGGCACCGGCAAGCAGCAAATGGGCTCGTGCCCAGGTGCTTTGCCCACCCCTGGCTCGCTCAGCCACAACAGGCTGAGATCAGGCCTCAGTATGGACAACCCTGTGGGGCCCCAGCCCACAAAGCGACCCACAGTGCCCAGGGGACCCAGCACTGCCACCAGCCCTGAAAGGGGGACAGGGGCCAGCAGCTTCTTGTGGCCCCAGCCATCCTCTCTGTGTAGGTGCAGGCGGCCCTTGCAATCTAGCACCACAAAGCACCTGCCCACTGGGTCCTGCGCCACCCAGCGCAGCCCAGCTGCCACCTCCAGGCGGCGCAGCAGCTCCAGCCCATGCGTCAAGTGCACCATGTGCAGCTCAGCTCTCTTTTCCTGTGGGCAGGAACGGGCAGGCCTGCAGTCAGGTGTGGACAGCCAGCTAAGAGGACCTGATCTGGGGTGGTCTGGGGACCCTTAGGGGAATAGCCAGGCCAGGAAGGTGGCCTTGAGGCAGACCGCCTGGGCAAACCACACCTTTTCCACAAGGTCGTGGAGGCCTGTACGTAGGAGCAGCCACAGCTGGCGTGCACGGACACGCAGGGTCATGTTCTGCCACTGTGAGCTGCTGGCAAAAAACTGCGGGACCAGCTCCGAAAATGACGACTCTGTGGGTCGGAGGTGGAAATGTCGTCACCGTGTGGCCTTGGGCCCATAATCCTGGAGGTCATGGGCGGCCAGGAGCCCTCCTGAGGGCCCTGTAGGTTAGTGGACTGCCCGAAATGTTGCCTTCTTGGAAAAATGAACGCCCGCCCCAGTGAGGCCTGCTGTCGAACCGGCAGTCTCCGGCAAGGCCAGGCAACCTCACCATTCTTTTCCTTGAGCAGCCCTGGGTCTGGGACATCATAGCTGTCAGTATCTAGGCCCAGGTCCAGAATCAGGCCGTCGCCTTCTACTGAAAAGGGATTGTTTGCATCCAACACTTCCGTTTCCATTTTGGTGGCCACAGATCCCAGCGCTCAACGGGTCCTGACACTGTTGCTAGGATACAGGACGCTACGGCCCCGCCCTCGGTGCAGGCCCCGCCCCCGCCCGCCCCCCCGCCCACACAGCAGAGCCCAGGCCCGCACTAAGTCACAGAAAACTTTTATTGGAAACAAACAAGCTGCAGCAAAGTGACACTCAGTGCGCGCTGCCCGATGGGCGAGGTTGGGGGTACAAGTGGGTGCCAGGGGTTGGCCCAAGCCCAGGGCGTATGACCACTGGGGCCTAGTTGCCGGGTATTGGGCCTTTTGGGCCGGAGTGTGCAGGCCCAGGCCTGACCTGGTACAAAATACAAAAATAAACTCTGTGGTCCAGCTGTCCCTGCCTCTGTCAGTTCGTCTGGGCAGGTCAGTGGCTCATCCCAAGCCCTGTGCTGTTCCAACCAGCCACAACGTGGGCAGCAAGGGCCTGGGAGGCTGAGCCAAATCCATAGGCTGGAGCCAAAGGGTGAGATGGGCGTGGCCGTGGGGGTTGCTGGAGCTGTGGCAGCACCAGAGTCCGGCCAGCAGCTGGGGAGGCCTTGGGGCCCCTCCGGTGGGCAGGTCCAGGCACTGGTTGAAGCTGGGAACTCCGCTCCTCCTCCTCACATACAGATCACTGGGACCCTGGGCAGAATGTGGCACACAGCGAACCTTGAAAAAGCAACACCCAGGAGACTAGGCAGAGGGGCCCAACCTATCCTGCCTGTTCCAGGCTCCAGGGGGCCAGGCCACCACAACCGTCACACACCTGTCCTCCATGGTGCTGGTGTCCTCAGGTCTGCCCTCACTGCCTCCACCGGCGCATGCCTCCTCCTCCTCCCCCAGCTCCATGTCCAGCTCGTTGCCAGCCTCCGAGGGAGTGTAGGTGGACCCGCTGGGAGAGGGGTGAGAACTGGTGTCAGGACCACCTACCCCTGGCCTGCTGCTGATCCCGGGGAGGACGTCCAGGGAGGACAAAGTCAGGAGTGCAGTGGGGCAGCTGGGGAAGGGGTGTGTGCGCCAAAGGGAGGCTGGGGGAGGGAGGTGGACAGGAACCAACCTGATGGAGCGGCAGCTGAAGAACACAATCCGCTTGAGCCTTTTGTTGTAGAAGAAGTAGTTGAAGGACCAGAGACTGCCGTCCTCCCCAAAGGGATCTGAGTCCAAGTCTGGGTTGTAGCTGGGGAGTGTGGGACGAGAGGCGGCGTGAGGACCCAAGTGCCACACACACCCGAGGACCAACGGCAGGGATGCCAGCCCACCTGTAGATGTCACATTCAGCCAGGCAGATCTCCTCATCCACTGCATTCCACAGCTGTGGCTTCAGGGCCTTGAAGTCCTCCCTCACGGCCGAAAACAAACTGCAGTTGACCGCATTCACCACCTAGGATGGCCACAGGTGGGGCTGACTAGGACCCAGGGCTGCAGGCATGAACCAGGTGAAGCCAGGGGGAGGACAATGGGGATGTCCTGAGCAGCAGGTCCCTTCCCCCACTCGACCCTCACCCAGCTCAGGCTGGGCTCCCGGCTGAACTCATGGCTCCGGGCTGTGCTAAAGTCATAGTCAGGCCGGAAGGATTCATTGAGCGTAGCGATCAGGTAGAAGAGGGTCTTGCGGCTGCACTTGTCGCTGAGGGGGCCCTCATCTTCACCACCTTGGCTCTTGCTCAGCCTGCACAGACAGAAGCATCAACCCAGCACTGCCCTGCGCCCCAGAGTCCCCAGTGGGCAGGCACCGCCCTGGCTCACCTGCTGGGGCTAAGGCCCGAGGTCTGGGGTGGGGACAGTGCCTCCAGAACGTGGGGCTGGCCCTCCTGACAGAACTGCTTAAACATGTGTTTGTCGTCTCCTGCCATCTTACATGAGTAGCTCTCGATCCTAGAAGACGCAGGCAGGACCGTGGAGCATGCCGCCAGCAGGTGACTCAAGGCCAGGTCAGAGCGACCACTGAGACACCAGCCGCAGAGCCGTGGCCTCACCTGCCGATGATGTGGGCATCACCAGTCTCCACGGTCAGCTGTGAGTTGACGGCCTCAAAGCTTGAGTTCTCCAGCAGCTTCATGTCCTTGGGGGGTCCTGTGTTCCAAGGGGCTAGTGCTGCCTGAGGTGGGAGGCCAGTCAATGGGCAGCTATCCCCGGGGGCTCCCCGTCTAGGCTTCCTCCCCCAATAAGTGGAGCCGTTGTAAACAAGCTGGGTCCTTCCCGCAGCATGCTCCCAAGCCCTCGGCACTGGCCAGAGAGGCGGTGAGACCCTGTTATCTGGGCATGGCAAGTCCAGGCCCCAGCTCATACAGCCCCTGCACCTCATACCAGTTCTGGGGCCAGGCTGCGGAGTGCACGGGCATCCTCCTCACCCTGTGGCTGCTGGCTCCATCTCCATTGACACTTCCCATCACGACAGGAGCCCCACCCACCATGGGTGTTACTAAGAGCCTCAAGGGACAGACTCCCTGCAGGCTCTTCTGCCAGGGTAAGAGTCCACACCCGGCACCACCAGGGCACCTGGGGCGCGGGCCCTGCGGTCGCCTGGATGCGGCACTCTTCCCTGTTCTACCGGCTGCTTTTCTAACAGGGAGAGAGAAGACCCACAGCCGCCTCCGTTCTCTACAAGTGCGCCCAGCTTCTTCCGACACGAGGGAGCGGAGCGAGCCTCCTCCGAAGGGCCCGTCGGCGGGCCGCGGGGGCGCTCCAGGGTCGGCCGGCAGCACCCGTGTCCCCGCCCAGGCGACGGGGAGCTCCAGCCCGCTAGAAAAACTACTCACCCCAGGAGGCCGCGCGGCCCGGGCAGCGCGCACGCGCCGGCGCGAGGCCTGCCGGGGGCTGTGGTTCTGGGGGCCCCGAGACGGCGCCGGGCGCCGGGCGCACACCTACCTTCCTGCGCTGCGCTCCAGCTGGCCGGCCCGTCAGGCCGGGTCGGGTCGGGTCGGTTGGCGTCGGCGCGGGTGAGAGGGCACTGCGGGCTCTGGGCGGCGCGGGCTCCTCAGGACTGGAGGGCGGCGCCGCGGCCTCCGCTCGGGCCGCACTGTGTCCGGAGAAAGAAGCTCCGAGACGACGTGCCGTTATTCCCGGCCCTGCCGGCCCTGTCGGGCTGCCACCGCGACATAGCCTCGCCCTGCACGGCGCCCAACTGTCCCGACCGACCTGCCGGCCGACCGCCACGGAAGGCCCGAGCGAACGAGCGAACGAGGGAGCGACCTCTGCTTCCCTGGGCTGGACAACAACAAGCGTCCGCGAAGCCCGGCCCCACGTCTCTGAATGGCCCGCTCCAGCCGCCGCGGTCGAGAGCGCGGATAGCCATTGGGAGGTGTGCCTGCCTCTCAGTCCCGTCTCTCACTTCTACTGGCTCTGGCGCTTGTCCGTCACTCTCCTCGGGGCGAACCCACCTTCCTCCCTGGCTCTCATTGGTCGCGGCTCCGCCTGCCCCACCCCCTGTGGCCGCCGGGGAATTACCGGAGGGGTTGGAGCAACAACCGTTTGCGGACAGGACCCGTCCGCTGAGCATCCCGGGAAGGGGTCTGGAAACAGCGTCCGGGTCCGGCCAGGCGTCGGGGGAACAGGGGCCGCCGGCTTGCTGCACCTGCGCTCCCGGGCCTCTAGGGCGAAGAGGCTTCGCCCGCCTTCCAGTTGTGACCGGTGTTTCCATCTCTGACACTGTCCCTCGGCGCACACACCACGTCCAGCATCCCCTGCCCGTGACCGGCGATCCTCGAGCCGAGTCCACCCTGGGCAAAGCGAAGGGTTCAGACTCGACCTGCTACCGGGCCCCGAAGCTCCGGTCGCTCCCGGAACGCCAGGCTCGAACCCCTGGTTTCCGGCCGGCCGAGGCGCTCAGCTGCCTGAGCCCACGGAAGCGGCCGGACCAGGGATGGCGCCGCCGGCGGGCGGCGCGGCGGCTGCCTCGGACCCGGGCTCGGCCACGGTGCTCTTGGCCGTGCACGCCGCGGTGAGGCCCCTGGGCGCGGGACCGGACGCCGAGGAGCAGCTGCGGAGACTGCAGCTGAGCGCGGACCCCGAGCGGCCCGGGCGCTTCCGGCTGGAGCTGCTGGGCGCTGGGCCCGCGGCGGTGAGTGTGAGCGGCGGGCGCGCGCGGCCTGGCTAAGGTCTGGGCGGAAAACTGAGCCCAGGCCCGTCCGCTTGCCAGCTGCGTGCCCTTGAGCAGCAGACTTTGCCTTGCTTCCGTTTCCTCGTTTGTAAAATGGGGATAATGCTAGTACCTACCTTCATAGGACTCCTGAGAGGGTTTCGTAATTAGAATAAAGGGCTTAGAACAGCCTAAGTGGCTTCTAAATGTTACCTCATATTTCTTTCATATCATATGTGCTGGAGGGAGGCCCTGAGCCTGGACTCTCTCTCTTCAGGTCAGTCTGGAGTGGCCCTTGGAGTCAGTCTCCTACACCGTCAGAAGCCCCAGCCAACACGAGCTGCAGCCTCCACCGGGAGGGCCTGGAACCCTCAGCCTGCACTTCCCCAACCCTCAGGAGGCTCAGCAGTGGGCAGCCCTGGTCCGAGGTGCCACTGTGGAGGGACAGAATGGTCAGTGCCCTGGGGCGAAGATTCATTTGATTAGCCAGGGTCTGTGTTAGTGCTGCGAGGGAACAGGAATAGACCTGGCACAGAAGGCCTGGGTCGGGGAAGAAGCGGGAAGAGCTGGACCCACCGTGCTCACTGCTGGGGATTCTGGGAAGGCTCCCAGGATGGAGAAAGTGGAGAAAAGGAATAGAGGCTGAAGAGCTGGAACCTGGGGGATCAGACAAGTGTAGAGGGGCAGAGCAAGTAGGCCCTCAGGACCTGGGTGAGAAAACAGACTGTATCAGGAACAACAGAAAAGCATTCAGTGGGAGAGTGACAAGCTCAGATTTGAGCTACTTGACTAGTTAAGACCTCGTCCGTGTGGGGTGGTGCAGGTAGGGCTGGAAATAAGAAGGATGCTTCCAGAGATGCTTATGAGGTGGAATTGGCTGGATTTCATGGCTGTTGAAGTGGAAGAGTGAGTGAGTGGTTGAGACAAAGCTGGAGGGACCAGATAGAGTGCCAAATTCTTAAACATCTTGGGAGAGGCTGGGGAGATGGAGCTGGGCTGGAGCTGGGGTTCCAGAGAGGTGAAGACTAGGTAGAATAGGACGACCACGGTCACCAGGAAAGAGAGGCAAGAGAACAGGGCCTGGCAGGTAGACAGTACGGCAGGGAGAGCAGAGCACACAGATGCATGCAAAGAGCTGCCAGAGGGTGGGAAGAAAAGGCAGTGTGACGTAAGAGAGGCCCAGATGACTGTCTTCCTTCCGTCAGTCACTCACCAGATGTGTATTCAGCACCTGCTCTGTACTTAGCACCTCTTAGGCCGAGGAGGTCGGCGTGAAACTCCAAATCCCTGCCCTCTTGGAGCTTGTGTTTCTAGAAGGGGCAGACGTGTAAGTAAAATTCTGTCAGATGGAGGAGACAGGGCTGCTAGAAGGAAAGGACTTGCAATTTAAAATAGGGGGCAGGAAAGGCCTCATTAAGGTGACACTTGAGTGAAATTTGATCATGAGGTGGCAACCATGGGGCCAGGGAGCAGCAGGTACAAAAGCCAGGAAGTGTGTGTACGTCATCTTCAGGACTCCGTGGGAGGCTGGCCAGGCCTGGTGCTGGGTGATCGGATCCCTGCTTATCCCAGTGGACAGACAGCTCAGAATACCGAGGGCCTGAGGCTGTAACAGGAACTGCATCAGCACCATGTGGGCTGGGCAGCACACAGCAGCTGCCCAGCTCTTTAAGAATACCTGGGGCAGGCGGTGGCCCGAGAGGAGGGCCTGACTGCAAGGCTTCTGGGGAACAGGAGGCAGCAGGCCCCTTCTGAGGACCTGCTTTGGTTCTGTGATGCCAGAGGAGCAGCCCTGACTGGCTGAATGGGCCTGTAGACACCAGAAGAAAGCATCTGTGGAGGAAGGGCACAGGCAACTGGGCAGCAGAAAGGTCCAGGGCTCCAGAGCCCAGGGAAAAGCCTGTTATGGCTATGAGTAGTCTGCGGGAACCGCAGGGGATGCAAGGGCACACACTGCGGGGAGGGCCTGGCTTGAAGTGTGGCCAAGGCGGGGCCCTAACAGTCTGAGGTGAGGAGGGAGGAGGCAAAGATCCTGGAAACCTGAGGTCAGAGAACTGAGGCCTGGGTGAGTACTCAGCTGTGGGGTGGATGAACCTCGGGAGACCACCAGTCCACCCCACATCTTCCCTCCAAGGCATTGACAGCGTGCCTCCAGCCCTGGGCCCAGAAATGTGCCCTGTGTCCCCACCCAGCCCCCCTGAAGTGCCCACACCCAAGGCCCCCCAACCAAAGATGGATCCTTCCTGGAGTCCTGGAGACTTGGTGGAGAAAGGTAAAGGCGGGGGGCTGGTGGGACTTGGGGAGAGCAGCCCGTGCCTGGCGGTGATGGCTCTCTCCCTCCCTGCAGAAGAGCTAGCAGGGCACCTGGCCCAGGCCATCGAGGGTGGAGATGAGAAGGGGGCAGCCCAAGCAGCTGCCATCCTGGCCCAACATCATGTGGCCCTCAGTGTCCAGCTCCAGGAAGCCTGCTTCCCTCCCGGCCCCATCAGGTGAGACCTGGGCCTTCACCCTGACCCACCAACCCTCCCAGATCATCCATCTTTACCCCTGACCTATATTCTGGCCCAGGCTACAGGTCGCAGTTGAAGATGCTGCATCCTCTGCCCATGTCTCGCTGCAGGTCCACCCTCACTGCACCATAGCGGCCCTCAAAGAGCAGGTGAGCACTGGGTCTGGGGAGCCTGGCTGGGAGAGGGTGTTTTGGGGGTCACTGCCTGGCCCTGACACTCTGGCCCCAGGTGTTCTCGGAGTTCGGCTTCCCGCCGGCTGTGCAGCGCTGGGTCATCGGGCGGTGCCTGTGTGCGCCTGAGTGCAGCCTTGCCTCCTATGGGGCACGGCGGGATGGGGACTCTGCTTTCCTCTACCTGCTCTCTGCCCCTCGAGAAGCCCCAGGTCAGTCAGTTGGGGTGGGGTGAGGAAGGTGGGTGCCGACTGACACTCCCTGAGTCCCATCCTCGCCACTGCAGGACGAAGCCCTCGGCAAACCCAGAAGATGGACGGGGTACCAGGCTGCCTGTTTCCTCCGGTGTCGAGGCTGCTTCAAGCCCCCCAGCCAGCCAGCTCCGGCCTCCCCAGCCCCCTTCAGGTGGGGAAGGGCCTGGGCAGGGCAGGCCTGGGCAGCTGTGGCCACTGGGAGGGAAGGATAAGCTGCAACTGTCTCCCCACCTCCCCAGACCGGCTGGACCTGCCCTTCCTGCACCTTCATCAATGCCTCAGCTCGACCAGGCTGTGAGATGTGTAGCACCCAGAGACCCTGTGCTTGGGATCCCACTCCCCTAGCCTCCACCGAGCAGCCACCAAAGGTACCTGAGACAGAGCTACAGAAAGGATGGGGACAGGGTGGCACAACAAGCAGAATGTTTTCTTCTACCCCCAGGTCACAAGGAGAGAGGATGGCCCTTCCCTCCCAGGCCCCAGGTTCCTCGATCCCCTTCCGAACCTCTCAGGGGATCTCTGCTGACTGCTCACTGGGGACAGAGCCAGGGGTGGGGGAGGGGCCACGAGCCAGAGTCATTAAAGACACTTCTGAGCCTGCTGAGTGTCCCGTCACTGTGCTTTTGTGCACACAGGGCTGCCGGGAGATGGAAAAGTAGGATACAGCCTCTCCAGGATGGAACTTGGCAGAGGTGGGGCTTCTTAGTCAAGCCCAGGGGGCTGCTGAAGAGTGTAATTGGACCTCAAGTCTCAGGGGGTCCTAGAAACATGGTTCTCTTGCCAGACCACAAGTTTGCAGAGCACACCCTGGCCCTGGCTGCTGACCACTGGGATGGGGCCCTCTGTGTGATTCCTTCTGAACCCCTCAGGCACATACCCCCTTTGTCCCACCTGCCAGCCCCTGCCCCTGGGCTGCTCCAGCCAGGGCACCCCTTACAGTCTCTCTGGGGGACAAGACAAGCTCAAACTAGGACCCCTGTGCAGCTAGGAACAGCACCTCTGTGGCTACCCTGCCCTCACATGAACCCATATGCTGCCTGGCCCCACCTCCAGCTGCTTGGAAGTCATACCATTGAACAAACACCCCAATGCCTCTCCACCTCTTGTGTGACCCTCAGCTGACAGCATGTCCAGCCGAGACCAGGAGCACATTCCAGGCACTCTGCCTGCCGCTCTCTGTGAAGAGCCATCTCCCTCCTCTCCCAAGAACAGCTCCTGCAGCTCCTACTTCAGGCTAGGCCTCTCCTGTTGAAGTGCTGCCAGACTCCCTACTGCCCTAAGGATGAAGGCCACGTGGCTCAATACAGTGACACTTGGCTGGTTACTCCAGCAGGTGCTTAGGCCCCTGGACCATGACCAGCTGGGCCAAGCCCTTTCACCTCTGTGACCAGGTGATTTCCCCACCCTGAGTGTGCCGCCTTCTTTAACAGCTAGTACTCTGCTTCCTGTGCCACATCCAGTACTGCCTGGCCTCCCAGCTACCAGGCAGTGGTCAGTGCTGGCCACACTGCGTGGAACACCCCTAGGAGCTCTGAGGCCAAGGGTCTTAGTCCTGGAGTCCCCTGAAAACCTGTGTTCCCATCACACAATGGCTCAAATGTGTTATGTTGAGAAAATTAATTTATTTCCATGATGGGGGTGGAAGGATCTCCAGGTAGAACTCAGTCTCCTGCCCCCTCCCCTCTCATCCTAGAGGGAGGGGGACTTGGCCGAGAGGGCCAGCTGGGGCCCAAACAGGCCCAGGGCAGCTCCTTGGCTTGCGGGCCTGTCCAGGCAGGATGGCCAGCAGACAAAGGGCAGGGTTACTTGGGCGGCCGATAGGCCAGCTTCCGGCTCTTCAAAACTGACCACTTATGCCGCTTCATGGCGTAGACCAGGGGCAACAGCAGACCCATCATGAGCAACATCTGGGGACGAGGCAGGCTCAGAAGAGGGAGGCAGACAGGACCCCTGCCAGCTCAGCCCCGCCCAAACCCTTTGCCCAGCCCTGTCACCTTGAGCCCCATGCGTTTGCGATGGTCGTGCTCTGGCTCAGACGCCCAACGCAGGAAGGTACACACATCCTTAGCTACCTGGGACATGGTAGCTGGGGTACCTGGGCCAAGGACAAGTGGTGAGAGCTGCCCTTGGGGGCCCCTGCCCAACACTGGGTAGCCCTCAAAGCATCCCCTCCATGGAGTAGAGATGGGGGCCTGGGCTAGAGAAAACTGGGAAGGCTGCCCATGAGCCACTGCAGACACTGCCTCAGCCAGATGGGTGCAGCACCTCCTGGGCCTGAGAACAGGGGAAGCACCCCTGGCAGTAGGGAAGTAAGGCACAGCTTGTCCATCGCCAAGGTGGGGGCCTCTCACCATCGTCAAACTCCAAGATCTCGTTGTAGATGGGAGGGGCCATGGCAATGGCCTGTCCAGGGAAGTAGGGGTTGAAGTAGAGGCCTTCTCTCAGTGACACCCCAGTAGGTGGCTCACAGTAGCCGGTTAGCAGGGAGAAGACGTAGTCCTCGCCACCGTGCCTGCGACCAGATCCGTCCTCCTCAGCCCTGGCAAGAGTAAGACCTCCCCCCCCGACTCCCCACAACAGCCTGTAGGCAGCCCTGTACCTAGCTCGCACGATGTAGCTGAGGTCCGGGGGCAGGGCTCCACTGTTAGCTGCTCGAGCAGCCTCAGGGTTGGGGTATGGTTTGGGGAAGTAGTCAGACAGCTTCCCTGGCCGCATGAACATCTCCCCATCCTCATTGGGGCCATCCTGAATCTCCACCTGTCACCAAGAGCCCTGTCACAACCCTGCTGCCCACCACAGCAAGAGCCCCAATCCCTAGGTCCTCTGCATCCCCAGGCCCCACACCTCCTCTGCCAGCGCCTTGGCTTCCTCCTCTGTGTAGCACACACCAACCAGGTGGCGGTAAGCCACGTAGTCCATGCTGTGGCAGGAGGAGCACACCTGCTTATACACCTGGAAACCCCTCCGGATGCTAGAGAGAGAGAGAGGGTAAGGGATGCCAAGGATTTCACCCCACCAGAAACACCCCGACTCCCCACAACAGCCTGTAGGCAGCCCTGTACCTAGCTCGCACGATGTAGCTGAGGTCCGGGGGCAGGGCTCCACTGTTAGCTGCTCGAGCAGCCTCAGGGTTGGGGTATGGTTTGGGGAAGTAGTCAGACAGCTTCCCTGGCCGCATGAACATCTCCCCATCCTCATTGGGGCCATCCTGAATCTCCACCTGTCACCAAGAGCCCTGTCACAACCCTGCTGCCCACCACAGCAAGAGCCCCAATCCCTAGGTCCTCTGCATCCCCAGGCCCCACACCTCCTCTGCCAGCGCCTTGGCTTCCTCCTCTGTGTAGCACACACCAACCAGGTGGCGGTAAGCCACGTAGTCCATGCTGTGGCAGGAGGAGCACACCTGCTTATACACCTGGAAACCCCTCCGGATGCTAGAGAGAGAGAGAGGGTAAGGGATGCCAAGGATTTCACCCCACCAGAAACACCCCCCAGCCAGCCAACCGCACACCTCGTATGGTCCAGAGAAGAGAGGAGGCCTCGGTGGGACCACGGATAGCTGGGGGGGTGCAGCTCCAGGTCACTGGCACTCACGGCAGAATGCAGAGCCACCGCCAGCCCTGCACCCCCTGCCGCCAGCATGCCCAGCGCTGACAGCATCACTTTCCGGCCCCGGGACATGCCGCACCTCGACGACAAGGACACTGCCTGCAAGAGCCTCGCTCAGCCCCCGCCCGGCCCTACCTGGGGACCTCTCAGCTTCCACCTTTCCCACTCATCCACCCAGCACCGGTCGCCGCCTGCGGGACGCCAAAAACACGCCCTGCGCCCCGGCCCGCCCCACTCCTCCCCGCTGCTGGCCCTGAGGAGGGGGTGCGACGCGTGTTCTTGGGTCCTGGGCCGGGGATCAGGCCGAAGTGGGCATGGGTGCTTGGGCAGGCCAAGGTCACAAGCAGCTGGCCGAGGTCAGGCTGAGGTCACTTCAGGACGGGGGCCCAGTCTGGAAGCCGGAACGGGAGCGGACCTGGGTGCGCCCTCCGGGGAAAGCCCCCCGCCCCAGGCCGCCCCGCCGCGCCCCACGCTCGCCACGAGGCGCCTCCACCGCCCGGAGGGGCGGGCACCAGACCCTGCTCCCGGACGCCCAAGGCCGGCAGGCAGCGGGGGGTCCGGCCGGGGCAGGGGCGCCGGAGGCTGCGCCCCTGCCGCCTAGCCCGCGCCCGGAGCCTCCCCGCCGTGACCTTCACGGAGCCGCGAGGCCAGGGAGCGGCGCGGGGAGCCAGGGCCGGCGCTCACCTGAGGCGTCCGCAGCGGGAGCGGCCCGCGCCGCGCGCCACACAGCAGGCTCCGGGCCCGCGCGCCCGGCAACCCGGCGCTGCACGGGCCCAGCACCGCCCCGCGAAGCGAAGCCGCCGCCGCCGCCGCCATCTTGGCCGTCTTCAGCGCGGCCGTCATTCCCGTCGGCCCCTGCGGAGCCGCGGGACGTCAAGCCTCGCGAGACTCGAGGGGCGCGGGGCCGGGGTGCCCTGTTGCCGTGACAGCACCCAGCTCCTCCGGTGTCCCAGCTCCGCCTCTGGTGTCAGGGTCTCCGCCGGGAGGCGTCCCTGGTCCGGAATCCACAGCGTCCTCGAGCCACCGCCGCCTTCGGCCAGCGGTATTTCCGTACCTGACCCGGCGGCTCACCGGACAGTCCCGGACAGGAGCGAGGCTCCCGGGCCGCCCCGCGCTGAGGATGGGGTCTCGGCCGCAGGCAGGGCCTCCAGCTGCAGGAGGGAGGCCGGTGCGCAAGGCTGTGGCCCCACCCTCTCCCCGCGGCCTGCACGGACTACGGCGGCGCCTCTGGGCTGCACGCTCTGTGATCTCCCTCGTACATTTGACAAGGATTTATTAAGCACGTATGCCCAGAAACTGGCGGACGCAGGAGCCATGAGCATGGCAGTCGAGGTTCCCCAAAAGTACTGCCAGGCATCAGAGAAAATTGAAGAGTAAGGAGCTCGGAAAATTGCCTCCCCTTCACCATAGAAATGAGGGGGGAAACGGATACATTGTCGGAGTCAACTTTTTCAGAACTCTGGAATATAAGCCTTGATTCACCATCCTCAGCAGTGTTTATTACAAACAAGCAACTGAAACTCGGTGAGAACAGTGGGTTTTACGGTGTTTTAACTTTTCCTGGGCCTACGCCGCTCTGCATCTTAGAGTCTTTGAAATAACAGCCCACATTCCTGGGACTGGAGTGTGAGAAACACACTCACTGGTCCAAATTCACTAAGTGGACACGGACACAAAGAGGACAGCGGAGAGAAGCTTTAATGAAGGCCTTGCAAGATCGCCTGTCTGGTGGGCAGGCGCACCTGGGGAGTTTGGCGCCAGTGATTTATCTCCTAGTACGTGAGTCCCTCCCCTCGCTCCTCATTGGCTGAGTTCTACAGGGTTCACATTCTTTCCGGGATGTCGCCTGAGCCAGTTATATCTTTCCGTTACATTTGTGTTAATCTTATCGGTAGGTTTAAAAAACCCCAACAGGTATAGCCAGGCCATTATCAATTCCCACTCCCTCTCTCAGCCTGAGCAGCTTCCACCACGTGGCCCTTTGTTAATACCTTACTGTTAAAAGATTTTAAATCTCCTGGTGGGAATAAATCACATTTAGGTTTTATGCCGTTTTCTAACAGTT